GTTCCCCCGCGGCGGGCCCCGAAGGGGAGAGTAGCAGGAGCCGCCCTGAACTCCGCAGCGCCCCGCGGGCGGTCAGCAAGAAGCCGAAATCCGGGCAAAAATTTAAAACGGGACGCTAAGAACCCAGCTGAGCCCCCAGCCAATAACTGCAGCGCAAACACGGAAACGTAAAACTCGCTCTTATATTAACACAAATGGCTGGTCCCCGTAGAGACCCCCAAAAATTGCCGGTGCCGACTAGATTTCTAATCGGCACGGCGGGGTATTGGGAAAAGTTTTCAACTAGCAATAATCGCGCTTCGGATTAACCTCATGAGCTACGATATTGCCACTGCGCAAAGATCCCGAAAGAGCCGCCGGCGCGTCACCTCTTCCCGGCCACCGACTCCCAGCTCAGGGCGAGGCCCGGTACCGTGTGTGTGGGGGGAGGGGGGAGACGGGTGCGAAGTGCCCCGAGCAGCGATACCTCCGGCACGGCAGCTCAGCCAGACCCAGAGGGCTTGCTGGGTTCCCCACTTTTGTGGGGGCTCAGCTGCCCGCAGAGGCGTCTGGGATCCCTATGCAAATGTGGGATTACGTCACCAGGCCGGAACCTGCCCCAGGTGGATGGGCTGAGCCTACTTCAGCATGTGGTGGGGTGGCCAGTAGGGAGACTAGGGAGAAAGTGGGAGGGGGCCGGAGTAAGGATCAGCCACTTCCTGGTTTGGCATGCACTTCTATCTGGTGGATCTGCTCATTATGGACCTGGGCTTCATCTCCGTCACCCTCCCCAGATCCATGGCCAGCTGCCTCCTGGCCCCCCCCTCTCCCCCCGGGTGATTTCCTATCCTGGGTGTCACCTGGGTCTTCCTTTATTTCATCTTCCGAGCAATGGATCATTTCTTCCTCCCTATCGTGGCCTATGACCGACAGGTCGCAATCTGCCAGCCACTCTCCCAGGAGCAAGTGACGAACAAAGGACCTTGTGTCCAATTGGCCACCAGAGCCTTGAGCGCAGGCTTCCTCTACTCCGCCATGCACACTGGGGCTATGTCTACACTGGCATGATTTTCCGGAAATGCTTTTAATGGAAAAGTTTTCTGTTAAAAGCATTTTCAGAAAAGCACGTCTAGATTGGCAGGACGCTTTTTTGCAAAAGCACTTTTTGTGGAAAAGCGTCCGTGGCCAATCTAGACGCGCTTTTCCGCAAAAAAGCCCTGATCGTCATTTCGCGATCGGGGCTTTTTTGCGGAAAAGAAATCTCTGCTGTCTACTCTGGCCCTTTTGCACAAAAGATTTTTGCCCAAACGGGAGCAGCATAGTATTTCCGCAAAAGCACTGACAATCTTACAGGAGATCATCAGTGCTTTTGTGGAAATTCAAGCGGCCAGTGTAGACAGCTGGCAAGTTTTTCCACAAAAGCAGATGATTTTGAGGAAAAGCTTGCCAGTCTAGACACAGCCTGGGAGTGCCTTCAGGTTATCCTTCTGCCAGGCCAATGTCATCAACCCGTTCTTCTGTGAAGTCCCCCTGCTCCTCAAGTTGGCTTGCTCCGAGAACTACGTCTAGACTGGCATGATTTTCCGCAAATGCTTTTAACGGAAAACTTTTCCGTTAAAAGCATTTGCGGAAAATCATGCCAGTCTAGATGTAGCCCTCCTGTTTGGGCAAAGCTTTTGCACAAAAGGGCCAGTGTAGACAGCTCGCAGCTTATTCCGGAAAAGTGGCTGATTTTCCGGAATAAGTGGCCCAGTGTAGACACAGCCCATGGCTATGTCTACACTGGCATGAATTTCCGGAAATGCTTAAAACAGAATAGTTTTCGTTATAAGTATTTCCAGAAAAGAGCGTCTACATTGGCCACAGATGCTTTTCCGGAAAAGCGCGTCTACATTGGCCACAGATGCTTTTCCGGAAAAGCGCGTCTACATTGGCCACAGATGCTTTTCCGGAAAAGCGCGTCTACATTGGCCACAGATGCTTTTCCGGAAAAGCGCGTCTACATTGGCCACAGATGCTTTTCCGGAAAAGCGCGTCTACATTGGCCACAGATGCTTTTCCGGAAAAGCGCGTCTACATTGGCCACAGATGCTTTTCCGGAAAAGCGCGTCTACATTGGCCACAGATGCTTTTCCGGAAAAGCGCGTCTACATTGGCCACAGATGCTTTTCCGGAAAAGCGCGTCTACATTGGCCACAGATGCTTTTCCGGAAAAGCGCGTCTACATTGGCCACAGATGCTTTTCCGGAAAAGCGCGTCTACATTGGCCACAGATGCTTTTCCGGAAAAGCGCGTCTACATTGGCCACAGATGCTTTTCCGGAAAAGCGCGTCTACATTGGCCACAGATGCTTTTCCGGAAAAGCGCGTCTACATTGGCCACAGATGCTTTTCCGGAAAAGCGCGTCTACATTGGCCACAGATGCTTTTCCGGAAAAGCGCGTCTACATTGGCCACAGATGCTTTTCCGGAAAAGCGCGTCTACATTGGCCACAGATGCTTTTCCGGAAAAGCGCGTCTACATTGGCCACAGATGCTTTTCCGGAAAAGCGCGTCTACATTGGCCACAGATGCTTTTCCGGAAAAGCGCGTCTACATTGGCCACAGATGCTTTTCCGGAAAAGCGCGTCTACATTGGCCACAGATGCTTTTCCGGAAAAGCGCGTCTACATTGGCCACAGATGCTTTTCCGGAAAAGCGCGTCTACATTGGCCACAGATGCTTTTCCGGAAAAGCGCGTCTACATTGGCCACAGATGCTTTTCCGGAAAAGCGCGTCTACATTGGCCACAGATGCTTTTCCGGAAAAGCGCGTCTACATTGGCCACAGATGCTTTTCCGGAAAAGCGCGTCTACATTGGCCACAGATGCTTTTCCGGAAAAGCGCGTCTACATTGGCCACAGATGCTTTTCCGGAAAAGCGCGTCTACATTGGCCACAGATGCTTTTCCGGAAAAGCGCGTCTACATTGGCCACAGATGCTTTTCCGGAAAAGCGCGTCTACATTGGCCACAGATGCTTTTCCGGAAAAGCGCGTCTACATTGGCCACAGATGCTTTTCCGGAAAAGCGCGTCTACATTGGCCACAGATGCTTTTCCGGAAAAGCGCGTCTACATTGGCCACAGATGCTTTTCCGGAAAAGCGCGTCTACATTGGCCACAGATGCTTTTCCGGAAAAGCGCGTCTACATTGGCCACAGATGCTTTTCCGGAAAAGCGCGTCTACATTGGCCACAGATGCTTTTCCGGAAAAGCGCGTCTACATTGGCCACAGATGCTTTTCCACAAAAAGTGCTTTTGCGGAAATACTATGCTGCTCCCGTATGGGGGGGCCGGGATCAGGGGGAGCAGGGTGCGGGGTGCAAGAGCAGGGGATCCAGGGTGGAGGGGCGGCATGGGGAATGGGCAGCACAGAGATGGGGGGGCCGGGATCAGGGGGAGCAGGGTGCGGGGTGCAAGAGCAGGGGATCCAGGGTGGAGGGGCGGCATGGGGAATGGGCAGCACAGAGATGGGGGGGCCGGGATCAGGGGGAGCAGGGTGCGGGGTGCAAGAGCAGGGGATCCAGGGTGGAGGGGCGGCATGGGGAATGGGCAGCACAGAGATGGGGGGGCCGGGATCAGGGGGAGCAGGGTGCGGGGTGCAAGAGCAGGGGATCCAGGGTGGAGGGGCGGCATGGGGAATGGGCAGCACAGAGATGGGGGGGCCGGGATCAGGGGGAGCAGGGTGCGGGGTGCAAGAGCAGGGGATCCAGGGTGGAGGGGCGGCATGGGGAATGGGCAGCACAGAGATGGGGGGGCCGGGATCAGGGGGAGCAGGGTGCGGGGTGCAAGAGCAGGGGTGCTGCACTTTCCCCTTCCCAGCAGTGCTCTGCTCCTCCACCCGGCCGGCGGATCGGATGGGGCCGTGCCGCTCACAATGGCCCACCGGGCCAGTCCACCCCTGCACTCGCCAGCTGGCAAAATCTACTCGCCACGGGCGAGCGAGCTAGTGTATTTGTTGACCCCTGGCTATTAGCCAGGATGGGTAAGAAATGGTGTCCCTAGTCTCTGTTTGTCAGAGGGTGGAGATGGATGGCAGGAGAGAGATCGCGTGATCATTATCTGTTCGTTTCATTCCCTCTGGAGCTCCCGGCATTGGCTTCTGTCAGCGGACAGGCTACTGAGTTGGATGGACCTTTGGTCCGACCCGGTGGGGCTGTTCTTAAGTTCTTATGGATGTTGTTGGGTTTTTTCTATATTAGGTTTTTTTTTTCATTTTTCTCAAGAAAATATTATTTCCCAACACTATCCTTGGCACAGAGACTGGAAGAGGGGTTTCCAAGGCCCAGGCAGGAGTTGGGCATCAGAACATTGGTGGGAGTTATCTGCCCAGATAGTTGGAAAGTTTGCCTGGTATGACGGAGAGATGATGGAACTTGTCCTCAGTCACCTGGGAGACCAGTGATCGGGATTTGAACATAACACCCGTGTTCTCTGCCTGGGACACCGCCTCTCAGGAGGTAACACCAATTTATCCAAGGTGTAAATAACACAATCGCTGTACTTGTGTCACAACAGTTTTCAATGACAAGAAGTGTGGCTGTCAGGAAACAATCATATTCCACACACAGAATGTGAAGACACACCTGAGTGTGGGTTCCTGTTCTTCCCCCTTTCCTACTTGATCCTGAGAGTTTCCTGACAGGCTCAAGGAATTTTGTCCTTTCATGTGAAGCCGCAGCTGGAGGAGTGGCTGTGGCTACATCTCAATAATGAAGCTTTCAGTGAGTCAGCGACTGGAGCCTGGAACTGGATGGCAAGAGACTTGACAGTGAAAAAAGTCAGGATGGGGGTTCCTGCAATAATACCTCTGTACAGATGCATCCTGATCTCTACATGCCTTGACCATTAGCAGGGAGCAGTGTAGTCACAAGGGCTGTGTCTAGACTGGCCACTTTTTCCGGAAAAGCAGCTGCTTTTCCGGAAAAACTTGCCAGCTGTCTACACTGGCTGCTTGAATTTCCGCAAAAGCACTGACGCTCTCATGTAAGATTGTCAGTGCTTTTGCGGAAATACCCCTTTTGTGCAAATCTTTTGTGCAAATGGGCCAGTGTAGACAGCTCAGATTTGTTTTGCGCAAAAAAGCCCCGATCGCGAAAATGGCGATAAGGGCTTTTTTGCGGAAAAACGCGTCTAGATTGGCCACGGACGCTTTTCCGCAAAAAATGCTTTTGCAGAAAAGCATCCTGCCAATCTAGATGCGCTTTTTCCGGAAAAACTTATAACGGAAAACTTTTTTGTTAAAAGCATTTCCGGCAAATCATGCCAGTCTAGACGTAGCCAAGGAGTTGCAGAACAGTTGGAGATAACGGCTGGGGCAGGGGTGG